GATTTATCCCACATTGTTCTCTCTGACTTGAAATTATTTCTGCAGTTACTGACTTGAGGGCCACGAAGATGATCAGAGCGCTGGAGCACCTCTGCTATGATGAAAGGCTGCAAGAATTGGGCTTGTTCAGCCTGGAGAAGAGGAGGCTCCGAGGAGACCTCATTGCAGCTTTCCAGTATCTGAAGGGAGCCTACAAGGGTGCTGGGAGAGGACTTTTTACAAGAGCCTGTAGTGATAGGACAAGGGGTAATGGGTACAAATTGAAATCAGGGAGGTTTAGATTAGGTTTCAGGAAGAAATTCTTCACAGAGAGGGTGGTGAGGCACTGGAACAGGTTGCCCAGAGATGTTGTGGATGCCCCATCCCTGGAAGTGTTCAAGGCCAGGCTGGATGTGGCTTTGAGCAACCTGGTCTAGTGCAAGGTGTCCCTGCCCATGGCAGGGGGGGTGGAACTAGATGGGCTTTAAGGTCCCTTCCCACCCAAACCATTCTATGATTCTATGAGTTTGGATCTCAGATTGCCGTGAGATTGAAGCACTGTCAGGAAGTGGATCCTACCTAACGTTACCAGGAATTAACTGCCTATTCTTTGCAACTTACCTGGTCTCATGTGTGATTACACTCAGAACAACATCCCAAAAGCATTTGTTCATGTCATGATGCCTGAGCAACATTTAAACTTACGGCTTGAGGTTATGTCTTTGGTGACAGAACGCTGATGGCTGTTACTGTTAGACTGGGTGTCGAATATGAAGACAGCCAGCAAGGTAGGGAAAAAGTTGCTATATGAGGGCATCTGAGAGAAAACACAGGGAGGGAAGATTTGTAAATTATGACCACTGCCTTTTGTTCTCCATTTTCAGTGGGTTCAGGACAACAGAACTTGCCATGTTCTTTGTGTAGATTTGTAAGAAATGCAGATCCCTATGCATTTGTAATATAGCTGAAATCTGCATCATAGTACTAGATCTCAGGCTGAGCCTAAGGGTTATATAAAAGAGTCAATATAACATTCAAAAGACACATATAAAATCTTTTTTTTTTCAGTTTGTACTAGTTATGATTAAATTCAGCTTTTTTTTTTTTTAATATTTCCTTTCTGGGAGGCAGAGACAAGAAGAGCACAAAATATTCTTGAATTAACAAGCATCTAGGAAGATCTTCCTTTTTAGGCCTGCCAGCATTTATTGCATGTCAGCAGATGGGTAAATCTCCATACGTTATCTCCTAATTGGCTGTAAATTTGGCTTGCACTTTAGATGTTGTGAAGACTCCAAGCAAATAGGTTTTTCTGTTTCACATACTAAGGTCTTCATTTATTTCCCTGTGTTACCCTTCAAACAGATTCTTTAAGCCATGATTTGTGAAGCCTTCATTGTATTGTACTGAAGTCACCCTTCAAACTCTACTTTCATATATTAATGTATAATATTATTCTCAGATTTGGGGACTTCCCTTGATCTGCCAAGGTTTAAATTACAAGTGGTTTTAGGAGGTAGAACTGTACCTTAGCTTTGGGAGAAATAATTTAATCTTGGATGCTTGCAGAAGCTAATAAGCCTGGAAGCAAAATCCAGTCCCTTAAAAATCACAGGCAACACTAGAATCAATGTTTCATTTGGAAAGGCCAACACAACTTTATATGCCTGTGGCATCAAAATGTTTCTTAGTCACCAACTGCAAAACTCAAGAAGAAAAGCTCCTCCTCTGTTTCTGTTGTTTTGAACTGAACTTCATGTTCAGGAACAAAGTGAACAAATCTGATAAAGACACCCAGGGGAATTAATTCCACTGAAGCAGTCAGTATGCCAGTGAAGGACAGACTTGCAGAGAAGTTTGATTTTGTTCACAAAGTAGCATGACAGATAGAGTTTATATGTGAGAAAATATAGTTCAGCATTTATTTATGTGAGGAAAATTCTTATTTCCATGAATCATGGTCCTGGGCAAGAGTTTCAGAGAAGTTTGACTTGAAAAGCAGAGCACCGTCAAAGGCAAGCAGTACTTATTTATAGTATTATAAATAATACTCCAGGTATATATTATAAATAATACCTCCAGGTCGAGGGAGGTGATTCTGCCCCTCTACTCTGCTCTGGTGAGACCCCACCTGGAGTGCTGCATCCAGCTGTGGAGCCCTCAACATCAGAAGGATATTGACCACTTGGAGCGAGTCCAGAGGAGGCCACAAAGATGATCAAAGGGCTGGAGCACCTCTCCTATGACGAAAGGCTGCGAGAACTGGGCTTGTTCAGCCTGGAGAAGAGGAGGCTCCGAGGAGACCTCATTGCAGCTTTCCAGTATCTGAAGGGGGCCTACGAGGGTGCTGGGAGAGGACTTTTTACAAGAGCCTGTAGTGATAGGACAAGGGGTAATGGGTATAAATTGAAATCAGGGAGGTTTAGACTAGATTTCAGGAAGAAATTCTTCACAGAGAGGGTGGTGAGGCACTGGAACAGGTTGCCCAGAGAAGCTGTGGATGCCCCATCCCTGGAAGTGTTCAAGGCCAGGCTGGATGAGGCTTTGAGCAACCTGGTCTAGTGGAAGGTGTCCCTGCCCATGGCAGGGGGGTTGGAACTAGATGGTCTTTAAGGGCCCTTCCAACCCTAACCATTCTATGATTCTATGATTCTATTTGTTTATAATACGAGTGGAGGCAAATGTTAGCCTTCCCTTTTCAAAAATCTCAAGCAAGATAATTCATACAGTGTCAGCTAAAATTACAGGTGAAGAAAACAATAAAAAGATATTAAAGTATGTATTTATCATGAGAGCTAATGTTGTTTGTAAT